TTTAAATACAATGTGTAGTATTACAATGAATAAATAACAATGAAGACACAAGCATTTGTAAACTTTTATTTACGATCACATGAACCTATGATGGCCTACTGAACGTGAGGCAATGTGAGTTAACTGTAGGTAACATGGGAACAGGCACGGAAAGCTCCACGTAAATATATTTTTAATAAGCGCCGCCCTTGAAGCGCCGCATTGAAGCCTCCAAAAATTGTATAAGCGCCGCGGCACTTTTGAGCATTTATATACATAGCCAGACAAATGAAATGGAGAAAGGCAGTGTTTGAGATCTGAATAATAGAATTAATTTCAAATCAAATTAACATTTATTCACTTCCATTAAACAGAATACAATTACAACATAAATTTTTTTTATATAGGCCTACATATAAAGTAAATACAAGGAATTAATTACGTAAATTGAAAAAAATCAAGTAAAAGGAAAAAGACAAGACCCAAGAAATAAGAAAAACAAATCTTGTGATGGGACAGTCTGAAAGAAAAATAAAAAAGAGAATAAAACAAGACAAAAACTAAAAACAAATCTGGTACAAACTGACAAACCGAGACAAGCAGCTAAAAAGGGGAGGGGGTGGATAAAAAAAAAAATAAAAACCTATAATTAAGTTATTGAGCTCTGGTTAGAAAAGATTTTACTAGAAGAGGCATTAGCTAAGTTGGATGGCAACGAATTCCAAGTTTAGCGCCCGAAATCTAATATATGCTGGAAATAATTAGTTTGATGGGTGTATACGAATATTAGAGTTATTTCATACTGTAATTATGAATGGAGTACAGTAATTAGATTTGAAAATGTTACCCCTGCAGATGAAAAAATGAACTACTATCATTCAGATGCCTAGAATATGTATGCAGTATATAATATTTCTTATACAGAACTTTAAATGTATGGTAAATGTAGATCAGAATTTAGAGAAATTGTCTGTTTGGCTAGATCGTGGAAATGAATTCATGTTTTCCTGTCCTACTGCAGCCTGTGTTGTGAGAACTGCAGTGGCGCCAGAAATTTCCGACGAGGAGTCCGACATGTCCGACGGAGGGGTCCGAACCAAAGGGCCGACGAAGCCTCGGTCAACGGCCTGGAATAAAAACGGATAGGTTCATGTGGAGAGATTTTGTATGGCTTAGTATGGTCCAATGTGCAAAGTTCACAATTTCAAAATAACGTTATTTGGATAGTAAACAAAATATTTTAACAAATTTTGATCTGACGACCTACTACGAGCTCAAGTCCCCCTGTCGGACAGCTCAGCCCCTCCCCCACCCCAGAAAATATACCTAGAGGCGCCACTATAGGTCTATACCGTAAAACCTCCAATTGAAGAAGCCTTGGACTTTTTGCGAACTTGGATGGGCTTTTATTTTCGAGATGGGCCACTTTTATGGGCTTCAAGTTTTGAGACTACTTTGCAAAGTAAAGAGGTGGGGGGGGGGGATTCTTTTCAAAATGAATGCTGTAAATTTTGTGAATTTGTACAATTAAACAATAAATAAGGTCAATAACATCAATCTGTATTATGGAGTGTATTTAACTGGCATTAAAAACTAATCAACCAAGCTTGTTTTTTTATTTACAGTGTATTTTGTTTTCTGAAATTCATGCACAGTGTATGATACTGTAAAAGAAACCTATGCTATGTTTTGAAAAGAAGGCAATGGGCTTCTTTTCGAGGCTAATTTTGCAAATTAATTAAAGAGGGGGGCTTCAATTCGAGGTTTTACGTTACGGTAGAGTTACTGAGACGCAATTATCTATCCTCATCAACTCAAAGCCACATGGTGGCGCCATTTTGACTCGAGCTCCTCAATCTTTCGTCGTTCTTTCTTGTTTTTTTTTCTATGGAAGCATTTTGTAGTCTCTAGTCCCATAACCGAATTTTTTAAAGATGCCGGTTTTATCCAAGACTGGCCTACATATTAAGGCAACTATGGATGCGGATTTGTTGGGAGAAGGCTTTGGAAAAGTTAACAGAAATCGTTACAACAAGCATACTAATCCCTGTCTCTTATACACATCTAGATGTGTATAAGAGACAGGGTTTGTTGTTCAAAAATTATACATATGTAAGTTTTAATTTGAATACTTATTCTTTATTTTTCAGGCATGGAAAGAATCAAACAAGTTTGCAAAGACAACCATCCTTGAATAAAATACTGTTTTCATCTTTTTTAATCCGGTTAAAAAAATTTATACAAGTATTTTATATAACTGCTAGTGATTTTATTAAATCTAATTCGATATTATGGTGGTTTATACAGCAAACCTGATGTTATGTACTTAATATTTTATTAATATTTCAACATTCTTTGATACCTCTTGAGAATTGAAATTAAAGATAAACAATTGGGCTAATACATTTTAAATATCCTGTACAATACTTGAAAATGATTAAAACAACTCAATCAATATATTGAAATATTCTTAACAAAACAACAGTTCTTTTCAGAACTATCTATGTGGTGTACTGCCTGTCTCTTATACACATCTAGATGTGTATAAGAGACAGATTTAGTGTTTAGTACTTTTTTTCAGATGTGATATCAATAGACTATTATGTTATCATCTTTCATTTATGATTTAGGTCAATAGTTAGCATGACAGCCAATATTCTGAAGATGTCTCGGACGACTCATAAAGACCAATCTGTCCTGCACTCGCAAACAAACGGTATCCCTTTGCAACAACACAATAACAACAGCACAAATGCTGTCCTCAAAAATGGACCATTACTTCAGAGGC